GAAAGGCCGTAGTACCGGTGCTCCAAAACAATCGTAGCACCTTTTTGCTGCTGAGCAATCTGCCCGTTGATAGTCTTGTTCGTAAGGTATCCGGTATAACCTGCCAACGACAATTCAAGACAGCTTGTCTTACATCGTATTTCGTCACCCACCGTCGGCTGCTGCCTCTCCTGGCGTGAACAGGATTATAGGGCCACCTATAGCGAAGCGGGGTGTCAGTGCTCTTATCTATTATCACAGTAAGACACCGGATTACCCTCTTCATACCATTCCCAGGTGTGCCAGAACCTCTGTTGGAAAGTTCCAAGACTCGGATTTGTGTGGTCAATCAGCTGATCGAAAAAGTACGTTGTGTTGAGCGGTGGAAGTGCAGCTCCCAATACATCCGTGAGTGGCACGTCGTCTGCAATCACTTTGGGAACCAAAGGAGATGGAGGGATGTTGCCGTGAGCACGTCCATCCGGAAGTTGAGCGTGTGCCAAGAGAGACAGAGAAAGCAAGGCACCCAACAACTTCCGTACTGACGGCAACATTGTCGAGAATCAGCTCCAAGCAACTGACTTGGAAGTGGGCTGGAAGGGAGGGATCTGTTGAGTTTGGCCAGTCGGCGCGACACCATTTTATGGATGCTGCAAAGCGCGTTATCGTCAGACCACATGTTCACTCGTTAAGAACGCGAATTTATGAACGATGTGCTGCACAACAACATCGCCCAATCCGGATTACCGAGTGACCGCTTTTCAAATGTGGAAGAGATGCGAGCAGATGGTACGTTGGATTCTAAGAAGTATGATGCCCGCGATTGATCCTAGTGGACGTATGAGCCAGGCGGGAGACAAGGGTATCATCGCAGAGTTTACTGCTCCTGCTATCGTCACCTGGTCCATCAGAGACAGATAAGGCTGCGGCGGGTCCGGGATAGCACAGGGCTATTGCTTCTCCAAGAACAGGGAGGTGCTTCCAACGCGACCAGCGTGACTATCGTCGTACGTACCGGATGATATATCCTGCCACTGTCTGGTGTACCGTTCCACCAATGTCAGGGTCTAGTGGTACACATTTGGGCGATTTGTCTCATGCGCGGGCTTGAGTGAACAGCTAAGGAAGAATGAGATCAGAGTAAGTTAGACACTGACATAGAAAGGTCTGCCTGCCGCAGACTTGCAAGTTGGCAAACCAGCAAGTTCACTATTACCGCCATACTGCACATGTCGAAATTGGTGACTGTTCGTGCTTTCTGAGAGTAGAACGAACATCGCGGTTGGGGGTCAACCCGTGTGCTACAGTTGATCAACACGATCACAAGTTGGCATCTCCGACGCAGTGTCCGCCCGGCGCCTCGCTCTGCCCTCCGCATCTATAACACCAATGATCCAAGCTGTCAACATGCCAACCGCCAGAATGAGCCAACGTCTCCTTACCACAGGACTCTCAGCACACCGTCATTGCGTCCTGAGTCCTGCCGCGTCATTGTGCACTCAATTTGGTCGTCTCTGCATCCTGTAGCTTTCCCCATGAGTAAGTGTACTCGATACGTCCTATCCTAGCTACTAACTGGATTGCTGAACAGGTTCACTCCCTATGTCGAATGCCCGACGCGAGCAGCAGCAGAAAGCTCGAGTCAGCTCCGCCGCTGCTGCCGCATCTACAGGAGACGACGATGCCAAACGCAAGGCAGTTATGAACGTGGTTCAGGTTTGGCTGGACAGGCTGCAGCTCATCAGTACAATTGTGCGTATATGCGTCTTATTTTCTGTACCTACCTGCTGAAGTCGTGTCTCATTCAATAGACAACGTTCTTTGCTGGGATAGACGGCACCATCTTGTCCTTCACTATAAGCCTCACGCACGTCACTTCATTTCCGGTCAGCCAGTGGACGGTGCCGCAAAAGGTGTTGTTGGCGAGCCTAGTGGGCGCATTGATTTTCCATGTATGCGCCGGTAAGTAGTTGAGATCTCCTTGTATGCGTTAATTTTGTAACCTCTGTGCCGCTTGAAATGTGCTGATGTGCATCTTACTTATAGCTATCACATCCTTCACCGCATCCTTCGTCCTCATTCGGTACAGGCTCGTCGATATGACAGAACATCTGCACATTGGCGGACCCCGCCCGTCAAGCGCCACAGACAGGACTATGGCGCCATCCGGACCTTCTTCGCCTGTCATTGGCGAAAAGCCTCGTATGATGCCACGATTTGAATCGTCTCCAGCACAGGTAGAGGCAACACACTCGAAGGACTCCTCAAATGCGACGTTCTTTCAGCACGCCGGCCGCGACATCTCTGACATGTTCGACTTCTTCCAAAACGTCACTGGCACCAAGTCCGAGGTCGAGGGACGCGTGTTCATCCACCAGGCTTCACCTCTATCCTGTTTCCGCTCCCGACCGAACAACAACGGTATGAACTTAGACCCGCCCATTCGCTTGCTGTCCCGGTGCCATTCGCTGTCAGTGACCATGGCGTCGCTGGGCTTTATATTGGCACTGGTTGGAATTTTGCTAGCCGCCTGGACGGCTTTGCCTATAGGCGTGAGCATCTTTTCAAGTGTATGCCTGGGAGGATGCCTGTTTTCTGTTTTCTGTGTGATGATGTTCAATTGCTAGAGCTCATCGCACTGCAGATGTTTTTGGGTGCTTGGGAAAGATGATCCTTCTGTAACAATGACTGCCGAATAACTTTGTGCTTGACGATCCCATGATTCTTGATGTCTTCTGTAAATTGTACGAAATGCATGAATCATGAATGTGCTTCACCTTCGCGCATGCGCTACGGTAATGTCACGGAATCACAGGAGACTCTTCTTCCCCAATCTTGGTGGCTTTCTTCCATACCCGAGCCCCGAAAGGACACTAAGCTTGGCAAATGGCACTGCTACGGAGAATCCGCTTGTGAGCCGTAGTAGCATTACAAATACATCAATATAGCGAGAGCGGCAAAGTGAAGTGCTGTAAAATCCAAAGTAATTCCAGCTATCCCAGACCGCCGCGGCACAGTGTGCGCAGAGCAGAAGTGGCGCAGGTGGGGCGGGTGCCGTCTAGGACCCCGATGACCACGCCGTTTTCCAGTTGCCCGCCTGCTTCGCGCTCTCGAGTGTGCCGAGGGCCTGCGCCACTTGAGCCACTTCTGCTCTGTGCGCACCCATCTCTCGCGGTCTATCGTTATTGGGCTGGCTGTCATCAAGCCTTTGGTTATTAATCGCAGTTAAAGGTAAGTTAGACGCTTGGGAGTGGTCCGGGGTCCTGAGCGCCGTAATATATGGTCAAAAACACGTGAAGACGCTCGGACCTGGTACTGCCCGAGTGCGTACTTAAGACCTGACATGTTCGAATAGCGCATCCCCAACTCTTACTCTCAATCTTTCAATTGCAGAATGTCGTCGATAACTCAGCGCATCACCAACTTTGCGTCCGGCTCTGCAAAGTCAAGGGTCACAGCTCAGAACGACAATGATGTCGTTATAGTAGCAGCAGTCAGGTCTGCCATTACAAAGGTGCGTGGCGGTTTCCTATAGCCGAAGCCATTGCACTCATGTTTCGCGCACTCAGGGCAGGAAGGGTGGATTCAAGGACACACACCCTGAGGAATACCTTTCCGCTGTTCTCCGCGCAGTCTATACCAAAGCCAACCTTGATCCGTCTCTCATTGAGGACGTCTCTGTCGGCAACGTTCTTCCCGCCGGAGGAGGAGCTGCTGCTGCTCGCATGGCTGCTTTGGCCGCCGGTATTCCGAACTCCAGTGCCGTCAACACTGTCAATAGGCAGTGCTCATCAGGTCTTACCGCCATCTCACAAATTGCGAACGAGATTTTTGCCGGTCAGATTGACATAGGCATTGGTACGCTTTCCATGTTTCCTGTAAGCTTTACAATGCTCACTTATTGGCAGGTGCTGGTGTTGAGTCAATGAGCCACGGGTATGGGAAGGGTGCAATGGCCGAATACTCGGAGAAGGTTCTCGCTAATCCCGAAGCAGAAGACTGCCTCATCCCCATGGGCATTACCTCCGAGAATGTCGCAGCCGAGTACAACATCTCCCGCGCTGTGCAAGACGAGTTCGCAGCCAAGTCCTTCCAAAAAGCTGCCGCCGCTCAAAAAGCAGGCAAGTTCAAGGATGAGATTGTCCCCATCAAAGTCAAGTTCGTCGACCCGAAGACAGAGAAGGAGACTGAGATTGTCGTCGACTCGGATGACGGCATTAGGGATGGTGTCACCGCACAGTCGCTGGCCAAGCTCAAGCCTGCGTTCTCCCCCACTGGCTCGACTCACGCGGGCAACGCCTCACAAGTCTCCGATGGTGCCGCCGCCGTCCTCCTCGCCCGTCGCTCCGTCGCGAAACGCCTTGGACTTCCCATTGTCGGTAAATTTGTCACTTCAGCAGTTGTTGGTGTACCTCCGCGGATCATGGGCGTTGGCCCCGCATTCGCTATCCCCAAAGTGCTCGAGAAGACTGGCCTCACCAAGGACGAGATTGATTTCTATGAGATCAACGAGGCGTTCGCTAGTCAGGCGGTTTACTCTGTGCAAACGCTCGGTGTACCGTTTGAAAAGGTGAATTTGAACGGCGGTGCGATCGCAATTGGTCACCCGCTTGGCTGCAGTGAGTCTCCCCTCTTTGTGACAAACTTGGCTGTTACTCAATTCTTTTCGCAGCTGGCGCAAGGCAAGTTGCGACAGGTCTTAACATTGCCAAGCAGACCGGTGGAAAGGTGTTCGTCACTAGTATGTGTATCGGTACTGGTATGGGTATGGCTGCCGTGTTCGTCAGCGAGCAGTAGTTTATAGTTGGGTTCGCTTGTATCGCTCCGTGTTATTAAGATTGTACGACATAGTACGTTCACCTCGGATTTCCCACTTGTCAAACATTCGTATCTGTCTAGTATGAGCCGCATTATTTGTCCATGACTTTCGTGGCAGTCCGCTACCCGCTAAATTGCTATAAATCGAATTTTTATGAGCGAGCCAGGGAGGTCATTTGAGTCCTAAAAACCTTCTTTCGTAAGCCCTCATTGTCTAATGGCTATGACGTCAGACTTCTACATTTGTGGAGTCGTTTCCCAATGAGGCAATCTGGAGGTTGCGGGTTCGAGTCCCGCTGGGGGTAATTGGTTACACTGTTTTTCGACTTCTCAACTTAGCGATTGCGTCCTCCGCGGGTCGTCGGTATGTACTTATGATACTAGATGGCGACAAGATTAAGTACAAATAGTTCTATCCAAATCTGATATAGTTCGTCGTGGGCGATGATCACGAATTTTGTAGTTTTTTGTTATTCGTTTTCATACCGAGGTGTCCACATTGAGCTGGTCGTAAGGTAAACTGAGGAAGCGTCGTATTTTATTAAGCCTTGCCTCTCAGTAATTTTGAGTAGATGGCCGTGCTTCGTACACGTAGCCGATCAGTCTCTACCCACATAACATGGCCAACGCGCACCACATCCTAAAGGATCAACTTGCCAACTGAAATGGAAGCGCAGATATAGCGTGTACCTGGTGATACGGGGATGTTCAAAGAGAGTGCTGAAGCGCGGAAGAAGATAATTCCATGCACGGTGTTAAGCTACAGTCAAGCGAGAATCGAAAGGCGGGTCGGTGAGTGCAATTTCCGAATGGTCGTCCGAGTGCCATCATGTACCTCCACGCTGGGATGCTGAGGTCTAAGAAGATGAAGACGACCTTCTTGATGAGAGGTAAGCGCAAATTCGTTGGGCATTAAACCTTGAACATCATGCAGGGTCAGCGTTATATGAAAATAACCATTCCCATGAGAGTGAAATAAATACCTCGTTCGTTATGAAGTCGACTATCGGCTGTAATTGGTACATGCTGCAGAGTTGAATCCTACAACGTTTCTTTACCTGCGTGTATCGGCGTGACTGCGGTGGGATTGAGCCGCGGGGTTTATAGAAGCTGAAAGAAGAACATGGTCGCATTGTAGAGGGAGGTTCACGAACTATGTATGGTTGGGCGGAACAAGCAGGGTCTGGAAGGACATCGTGCCACTTCAATGAATTGGAAAAGACTGTGTGTGAGAGAAGTCGTGGGATATTTGTAGCTTACGGCAGACTCTTGTGTACAGTGGGCTCTGCAGACAAACATGCGTTCGGTAGACGGCTGGACGGTGTGTGTTCGTTTGTGCTAGCTGGGAGGACATCACGCGTCAGCCTGGTGGTCGATGGCAGAGTGGCCCCCCTCCAGGTGGCGACCGTTCCCGAAATGGCGCGCCGTCACCAGGTGTGTGATTGGATAACCAGCACAGGGTCCATTGCAAATACACAAGTCAGATCTCATCAGATCTCAGCCTGAGATGGTCGGCCTTTTCCGTGGAAGCCTCGCCCACAGCGTGAGAAAGTCGTGGTACCCTCCAGATAAGAATCGCTCAGGACCGTGTCCCTCCGTCCCGCGAGGTAAGGAGAGCAACGATATCAGTCTCGATATCAATGAAGAAGAACAAGGAGGTGGTGGCTGTTTTTTGTGGGGGAGATCTGCCGTGGTCGTTTTGTCAGAGAATGTTGTTCGGCCGGAAAAGGAAACGGCCCGCCCAGGGATCATCGAATTTCAACCTCGTTAGATGAGCGCCAACAATTTAAACTCAGCGAAGGAGACAATTTCACACGAACCAGTGGACAACGAGCACAAACGAGGTCCTGGGCGTCTGCTGGGGTTGCGGCGTTGCGGTCAATTGCAGGTCCCGGTGTCTCTTTCTCTCCCTACTTGCATATTCCAGCCACGCCCCTCCCGGCCTCCCATGCATTCGGGTCCCCCCTCAGGTGGCTCGCCAACTCGTTCGACGCGACGAGGGATGTCGAGAGCCGTCTCCGACTATAAAGCTCACAACGATATTTCTGGCAGGTCGTCGACGGCCACATTCACCACCTGCCTCGACATCAAAGTCGAAGGTGCCCTCCCCATTGACAAACTCGAATCATCGTCTACTGGAACCACTCACAAGGATGTCACAAAGACTATGCCAGCTGTTGAGCCTAAGAGGGCCCCACGCAAATCGAAGACAGACGCTATCGCAGCCCTCAGCGCCAGTGTGGCCCAGGAGGAATCCGCAAACGAGTCATCGAATGAAGATGTGGGTGTCAGAGTCTACTTGAGAGACGGGCCTTCCATCCCTGTCTCTCCCATGTTCCATCTTTCGACCGTCAAGACTCCCTACCCGCGCCTTACACCCTCCAAGGCCAAAGAACGCCCATTTGGTCTCACTGATTGCCCCACATTCCGACCCACACCTGAACAATTCAAAGATCCCATGGCATACATCAAGTCTATCTCGGAGAACGCGAAGAGCTACGGAATGTGCAAGATTGTGCCACCTTTGGGATGGGCGATGCCTTTCGTTACCGATACTGAGGTGCGTGGCCACTTCGCCGCATCTGTTTCATTTTATGTGACCAATGAGATCTGCACAGTCATTCCGCTTCAAGACGCGCTTGCAGCGTTTGAACTCCATCGAAGCCTCTTCTCGGGCTAAAGTTTCTTTTCTCGAGCAACTTTACCGATTTCACAAACAAGAAGGAAATCCACGTGTCTCTGTTCCTACAATCAATCACAAACCGTTGGACCTTTGGCTGCTGAGGAAGGAGGTGCAGAAGTTGGGTGGATACGATGCGGTGAGTAGTTCCCTTTCATTCAGCTCCATCATCGAACAATCAACTCCCCTATCATACGATACCTAGGTGACAAAACACAAGAAGTGGGCAGACCTTGGGCGTTTGCTCGGCTACGGAGGTATTCCTGGTCTTGCCACCCAGATGAAGAACTCCTATGCGCGAGTGATTCTGCCTTGGGAAAATCGCTATGAGCAGCACGTCAACAACCCATCTTCCCCACAAAAGAGGACCTCAAACAACGGGGCTTCTACGAGTAAACCTGGTACCAACGAGGATAGTCCGCCATCGAGTCCGTTGACTGCGACATCAAGCCCGTTATCTGAGCCTCCCGATGACTCAGACATGGGCAGACTGAGACGCAGCGCTAGGCAGGTGCCCAATGACCCGACACGTAAGTCCACATATTCTTTATGCTCTTCGTAATCACGACCCTGATTTATTGTGTCGCATATAGCGTCTGCACGGAGAATGTCTGCAGCAGCAGATTTGTCATCGTCGAACGGTAGCGGCCTAAAAGACAGGCAATTACCTGCTGAGGTGCGTGTTCTCGGTTATCCAATCACAGCGTACGGTTTTTGAAGCTTCCCAAGCCTCATTGCGAATTGTGCCACAAGAAGGATCGCGGAGAGGAGATGTTACTTTGCGACGGATGCGATTGCGGTGCGATATTGGTCATATTCCTCCTTCTCTTTGCCCTCCATTACTCAAATCGGTTTGTGCAGGTTTCCATACATTCTGCTTGAGTCCGCCATTGGCCTCGATTCCGAAGGGCCAGTGGTTCTGTCACACTTGCCTTTTCGGGACCGGAAGCGACTTCGGATTCGACGAGGGCGAAGAGCACTGCCTCTCCAGTTTTCAAGCTCGAGACCTTGAATTCCGCAGATTGTGGTTCACCTCCCACCCGCCATCTGATGCTGATGGAGATCGCGAACGCATATATGACGGTGATCATCATACTAGAAACACCAATGATCCTGCTGTGAACAAATTCGGAGACATCGAGGTATCGGAGACAGATGTGGAGAGGGAGTTCTGGAGATTGGTGCAGAGTCCGAATGAGACCGTTGAAGTCGAGTATGGTGCGGACGTGCACTCGACGACGCACGGAAGGTGAGTACAGGCCGCATACAAGCGCAATATTTCTCACGAATATTCGTTATCAAGCGGAATGCCGACGATGGAGACTCATCCATTGAATTCGTATTCGAAGGATCCGTGGAACCTCAACAATATCCCCATATTGCCGGAGTCGCTTCTCCGTTTCATCAAGTCTGATATCTCGGGGATGACTGTGCCGTGGACCTACGTTGGCATGATATTTTCTACCTTTTGCTGGCACAATGAGGTGAGTGTTGCTCAGTATTTGTATGCTGCTCAACGGATATTCATCGCAATACACAGGATCACTACACATACAGTGTCAACTACAGTACGTCGTCAGCACCAAAATGCTACCCTTAGACTGACTTGAAGCTATTAGTGCACTGGGGGGAAACCAAAACTTGGTACAGCATCCCCGGCGAGGATGCGGGGAAGTTTGAAGCTGCGATACGCCGCGAAGCGCCTGAACTGTTCGAGGCGCAGCCAGATCTCCTTTTCCAGCTCGTTACTCTCATGAACCCTGGGAGACTGAAAGAAGCTGGCGTTGAAGTGTATGCATGCAATCAACGTGCTGGCGAGTTCGTGGTGACGTTCCCGAAGGCGTACCACGCTGGCTTCAATCATGGAGTACGTAATATTTGATTAGTTGTGCATATGGCGTTTGGCATACTGACGGCAGCCACTTAATAGCTGAATTTTAACGAAGCAGTCAACTTTGCTTTGCCGGATTGGCTGCCGCTCGGGTTGGACTGTGTGCGGCGCTATCAAGAGCACAAGAAGCTGCCAGTGTTCTCGCACGACGAGTTGATTATCACTATCACGCAGCAGTCACAGTCGATCAAAACTGCTATCTGGTGAGTAGCCATTCGTCGGCTGTTTGATTTTCCGATCCTTTGGTTCGGAAGCTTGACAGGCGTGTACTGACCGGTCTGGATGTTTCATCAGGCTCAATGACAGCTTGAAAGAAATGGTCGACCGAGAGCTGAACGCCCGAGCAAGGGCGCGTGCCCTGAACCTTATCCAGAGTCTGGAGGAGCAGGACCGACCTGAGGAGCAGTACCAGTGTGCGGTCTGCAAGGTGTTTTGTTACCTCTCGCAGATCACGTGCAGTGTGTGTCCGAACCGGGTGGTGTGCATCGACCACGTGGACCAGATCTGCAAGTGCCCAAAGACGAATTTATTGCTCAGGAAGCGATTCGATGATGCCGAATTGCAGGATACTCATGCGAAGGTCGCGGAGAGGGCAGACATTCCGACTGACTGGAAGAACAAGCTGAGCAAGGCTCTTAGTGAGAGTGCCAGACCTTCGTTGCGCACCTTGCGCGCGTTGTTGGCAGAGGGCGACCGCATCAGTTACCCACTGTCCGAGCTACACGCGCTGAGAA